GAGAGAGAGAGAGAGAGAGAGAGAGAGAGAGAGAAAGATTTTATCTCATTCTCTAGTTTACTTCCCAAATGTCCACAACAGTGGGGACTGGGCTGGTAGAAGGCTGGAACTCAATCTGGGACTCCCATCTGGGTGGCAGAAATTCAAGTACTTGAATCCTACCCTGCTGCCCCTCAGGGTATGTATGCATTAACAAGAAACTGGAATGGGAAACAGAGCCAGAACTCAAACCCAGGCACCCCAATATGGAGTGTTCCAAGTAGTGTCTTAATCACTGGGCCAAATGCTTACCCTGTACATTTCTTATAAACAACATATAACCGAGGTTTTATTTTTTTATTTTTGACAGGCAGAGTGGACAGTGAGAGAGAGACAGAGAGAAAGGTCTTCCTTTTGCTGTTGGTTCACCCTCCAATGGCTGCCGCGGCCAGGGCATCGCGCTGATCCGAAGCCAGGAGCCAGGTGCTTCTCCTGGTCTCCCATGCGGGTGCTGGGCCCAAGGACTTGGGCCATCCTCCACTGCACTCCCTGGCCACAGCAGAGAGCTGGACTGGAAGAGGGACAACCGGGACAGAATCCGGCGCCTGGACCCGAACTAGAACCCGGTGTGCCGGCGCCGCAAGGTGGAATAGATTAGCCTATTGAGCCAAGGCACTGGCCCGAGTTTCCTTTCTTCTTTTCCCAACTGATTGTCCTTGACCTTCACCTGCTACCTCTACTTTGTTTTTTAATTTCCTTCTTTTACTTTGTGATTTGCTTTATGATTTGGGGGCATTGATTCAGTTCCTTTCCCTTCTCTTCCCTCCCTCATGCTCTTTTGGATACTTTATCACACTTTTCCATCCCATTTGCCCATTCCTAATTATTGTCCTTGAATGCAAACTGCTATTCTCTTACTCAAGATGAAGTGCCTGACACCACTGCTCCGCTATGCTCTCCATCCCCAGTGTCCACATCTCCCACTAGAAGGACGCTTTGGATGCTATCAGCTCTTACAGTATGCTCAGCCCATTCCCAATTCCTAGATGTTGTTGACATAAAGAGTATTTTTAGTTGCAGCTGATTACTTGGCCCTATCACAGAAGTTCTCCTATTTCAAGGATCTCTAGTGTTTACAGTTCACATTCCCAGTCTGTTATTTGCTGTCTAGATTAACCACATATTGCAAAATTCTCTGCTTACCATAAACTCCTTTTCTGTTTGCTTCCTTTACATATTTCTTCTTCCTCTGCTCCTCAGTCCCACTCCTCTTCCTTGTTATTCCTGACAGGGCCTTTTCTGGAACCTTCTCCCTAGGTGGGCTATGTGAATGATGACCTCTGAATCCTTGCATCATAACAGGTGTTTTTCTTGCACTGTAACGCATGGAAAATATCTTACCAGGCTTTGTGTTCTTGGGTCCTAGCTCTTTTCTCAGTATTCTGTAAACATTATTCTATGACTACACTAGTTTCTCATGCTGCACTGGATATGCAAAGTCCAATGCCAGTTGATTTCATTTCCCCCATAAGTAACTTGCTCTTTTGGTTTAGAAACATGTGAAATTTATTTTTAAACTTGAAAGTGTCCAGTTTTACCAGGATACACCTTTTTATCATCTCTCCTAAACCTGCACAAAGAAGTTTACAAATGAACAATAATTTCCTTGATATTTTCTGTATTGCCTCTTCCTTTTTTTCCCCCCTTCTGGCCTTCATATTGCTTTCTTAGGTGAGTCTCCACGATTTTTCTTTCAAGTGTTTTTTATTTTCATTTATAAATGTCTTCTCTCTGTATTTATGGACGGGGGGGACTGCTGTGTAACATTTTTCCATGTCCAGTCCGACAGGACCACTTGGCTATCCTATAAGAATTCAAACTGCTCCTCTACCAGCCTGAACTCACCTGTTCAGTCTTGGCTCCCATGCTCTGCTGCTCTGAATACGCCCTTGTGAAGATGATCATCTTCCACTGCTTTCCTAGGCCATAGCAGAAAGCTGGATGGGAAGTGGAGCAGCTGGGACTTGAACCATAGGATGCTGGCACTGCAGGCTGAGGCTTTACCTACTACACCACAGCATCAGCCCCTGGGCTTACTTCAAAACAGTTCCTTTCTTCCTTCCCCTGAGAGCTTTGAGGGTAGAACTCAGATAAGTGTGGGCACACTGCAAGTGTGCTTTCCAGAGTTTTATCTCTCAAGCCAGTCCTCACTTAGTCTCCAGCAGTTTGTTACTTACCTAGTAAGTGTTCCTATGTGGCTTCAATTGTGGCTTCTGCTCCATTAGGCACTGGTGGTCTGTGTCTGTCTGTGTCTCTAATTTTCAGGGTGTCAGTTTGCCCCATGACCTCAATTATCTGATCGATTGAAGAATTGTTGGTTTTTAAATTGTTGAGTTTCTCTCCCTCCCTCCCTCCTTCCCTCCTTCCCTCCCTCCCTTCCTTCTTTTCTTCCTTCCTTCCTTTCTCTTTTGTTCATTTGTTCATTCTCTCTCTCTCTCTCTCTCTCTCCTCCCTCCCTCCCTCCTTTGCTTTCCTTGTTTTGAGATTGGAAATGATGTATTCTAACCTCTTTACATGTTAGGTGAGAAACTGAAAGTCAATGCTATTGATTTTTGTGAGTTAATTTTATATCCTGCTATCTTATGAAATTCTTTTATTGTTTGAATTATTTTATCTTTGATTTTTGTAGTAAGGCTTTTGCAGGTTTGCCATTATGTCATATGCAAATAGATTTGGTTCAATTTTCTTTTCCTTATGCCTTGTTTTGCTTGCTCCAATCATACTGTGTTGACTGGTACCTATGGAGGGAGTGGACACTCTGCCATGCTTCTGACTTAACATGGCTCTTGGGTTTCCCAAATTTTAAAAAAGATTTATTTATTTGAAGGGCAGAATTATAGGCAGGGAAAGATGGAGGGAGAGAGAGAGGGAGCGCTTCCATTCACTGGTTCACCACCCTCTCCCAAATGGCCCCAAAGTCCAGGGCTGATGCCAGCAGTCTGGAACTCCATATTGGTCTCCCAGGTGGATGGCAGGGGTCCAAGTACTTTCCTAGGCATGGTAGAATGGAGTTGGATCAGTAGTGGAGCAGCCAGGACTTGAACTGGAGCTCACATGGGGTACCACATGTACCACAGCACCGACCCCTAGGGCTCCCAATTAAATAAGATGCGGGCTTTAGGACTGCATTTTATATATTTTGGTGTATGTTTTGAAATGTAGCTTTGATTATTTTTAAGTATGGCAAGGTCAACAGTTTAGGAGAAGACTACCATAGTCAAGATAATTTGGAGGTGGTTAAGGCATCACCTGGAACAAGTGCATCCCAGATCAGAGTGCCTGGCTTTGCAAAATTTTTTTATCAAAATAAATTCATCTTTTAGTTCCATTTCTGTGAACTTTTGAAAGTCCTCTCATAGAATTTGAAATACACTGCCTTAACTTTAAGACATAAAAAGGTCAGAGAGAAAGAAACTTGTTGTAAACTGACAGGTACTCCCGTATGTAAGGGAGCATGTTACCCAATTATTTCGATTCCTGCACTTGTTCTTAGAATCATTGTGAATGATCAGCTACAAAATTAGATTGATAATGAATGATGTTGTACTGATTTTTAAAAAATATTATTTATTAATTATTTGAAAGGTAGAGTTACAGAGAGGCAAAGGCAGAAGCAGAGAGAGACACACGCACACACACACACACACAGAGAGAGAGAGAGAGAGAGAGAGGGATTTTTTTTCCATCTGTTGCTGAACTCCTCAAAAGTCTGCAACAACATGGGCTAGGCCAGGGTGAAGCCAGGAGCCCAGAACTCCATCTGGGTCTCCTATGAGGGTGGCAGGGGTCCAAGAACACAGACAATTTTCTGATGGCGTCCCAGGCATATTAGCAGGGAGCTGGATCAGAAATGGAACAGTTGGGACTTGAACCAGCACTCCATTATGGGATGCCAGCATTGCAGCTAGCAGCTTAACCTGCTGCACCACAACACCTGTCCCAATAATGCTATTGACATAAATCAGTCACCAACAGTGGCATAATTTTCTAAGCTGCTGAACAATTCTTGACTCATATCCAAACAAATCAAAGTATTAATTTTACCTTGATCTACATTATAGTTGCACACTAGACATTTCAGTGTATGTCAAAATGATGCAAAAATACATGCATGTATATAAAGGAGAATTGTCTTAAATATAGAACATTATGAATGAATTTTCCACATATATGAATGTTCAGTATGACATTTGTTGTTATCCAGGAATGTCCCATGAGTTGGAAGACATCTAACATCCCTGGCACCTACTCACTAACTGCCAGTACCCTTCCCCAAGTGGTTTCAGTAACCAAACATACTTCCACCTTGTGGGAAATCACTGGGCTAGATGAATTCAGTCTGGTTTAGCTGGTGGTAATTCAGTTCTGTGAATATTGTCCATCTCAAGGGGCATGTCCTTTATGCAGACAGTTGAGAAAAAGCCAAAATGAGTTGGAAAATGGTCACCTTCACAAGTAGTATAGCAATGTAGATAAGAGCAAGGAGATGGGTTGGGCGTTTGGTGCAGCAGTTAAGATACTGTTTGAGATGCCCACATCCCATAAAGGAGTGCCTAGGTTTGAGTTCTGGCTCTATTTCCAATTCCAGCTTCCTGCTAATGCACCCAAGGAGAATGCAGATGGTGGCTCTAGTAGTTGCATCCCTGCCTCCCACATGGGAGACCTGGAATGGTTTCTTGGCTCCTGGAATACACCTGTCTCAGCCCCGGCTATTGCAGGCATTTGTGTGTGAGTCAACAGATGGGAGAGCTTTCTGTCTCTCTGTCTCCTGCCTTGCTAATGAGTAAAATAAATAAATAAAAATTTAAAAAGCAAGCAGATCCCATTTCCCTCAAGTAATCATTACTTTGCAAAAATGACACTGATCAGTACAGTGGTATGAAATGGGCACTCCCATTTATTTCAATTGTGCTATAAAATTTTTAAAGCAATTCATTAAGAGTCCTTTAGTGCATATATAGCCTTATAACAAGTTATCCCATTTCTTGGGATGTCCAAACTGGTACATGTTACCCTGCTGGTTTTGTGGATGTCATGAGCTTTGACAAGATCAGAGAGAATTTCTGCCTGACCTGTGACACCAAGGGTCACTTTGCTGTTCATTGTATTATACCTGAGGAAGCCAAGTACAAGTTGTGCAAGGTGAGAAAGATCTTAGTGGGCACAAAAGGAATCCTTCATTGCGTGACCCATGATGCTCCTACCATTGGCTACCCTCATACCCTCATCAAGGTGAAGGGCACCATTCCCACTGACCTGGAGGCTGGCAAGGTGACTGACATCACCACATCTGACACTAATAGCCTGTGCATGGTGCCTGGAGATGCTACCCTGGGAAGAACTGGTGTGGTCACCAACAGAGAAAGACATCCTGGTTCTTTTGATGTGGTTGATATAAATGACGCCAATGGCAGCAGCTTTGCCACTCAGCTCGCCAACATTTTCACTGGCAAAGGCAACAAGCCTTGGACTTCTCTTCATCAAGGAAGGGGAATCTGCCTCACCTTTGCTGAAGAGAGAGATGGGAGACGGGCTGCCAGACAGAGCAGCGGGTGAAATGCTCTCTAGGTGACAGGCTATATAATAATAGATAGAATTAAAAAGGAGAGAATGTCCAACATGGGAAGCAGTCCATACAGCAGATTCAGAGAATGACAGTCACTTTAAGTAGCACTCTGACCTCAGAATCAGTCTTAAGGTATTCTGGTTTGGCTGAAAAGCCCACGAGAGCATTTCAGACATGGAAAGCCAAGATACTGGAAAAACATGTCCTATATGAAGGACCTTGGTAGGTGAGACCCCAGTGGAAAGAAGTGGTCATCAAAGAAGGAGGTACTTTTCTCTGAAGGGAGGAGAGAACTTCCAATTTGCTTATGGCCTTGTCTAAATACTGATGGAGTTTGTGGTTTCAAAAAGCTTCCATAGCCTAAGCAGCTCATGTCAAGAGCCTCAGGTGATCACTGACGTCATATGTTAGAGTGTTAATTGTTAAATTAACAATAGGAGTCACTGTGCACTAACTCCCTATGCAGGACCTCTGTTCTCAATGAGTTGTATTATGAGAGTTAATAGTAAAACTTGTTCTCAAAGATTTATTTTATTTTAGTGTATTAAGTGGAGGATATTCTTATGTCTTGTCTTAGTTATGCCTAAGTGTCCAAGTCCATTGCTTGTTTTCTTAGGTGCTTCCTTAATTAATAATAAAAACCATTCTCAAGGACTTCAAATTATTAAATAGAGGATATTCTTATGTCTCACAGTTATAGTTATGTCTAAGTGCTCACAGAAGATGTATCATTCTGGGTGCTTGTTTAAAATTAAGTTTCTAAAAAAAAAAAAAGAAAATGAAATTAACTTCAAGATGCAATGACTTTGAACAGCCCTTGTCTCCACTGTTGAGGAATAGGTTTGTGTGTGTGTGTAGGGGGGTGGGTGTGTTTGTGTACAAATTGTTGAACTCTTTACTTAGTACAGAGTTGGTCTTCTGTGTATAAAGGTAATTGAAAATGTATCTTAGTGGAGAATGGGACTGGGAATGGGAGAGGGAGGTGGAGGAGGGGTGGGAGGGTGGATATAGTGTGAAGAGTCACTACATTACTAAAACCGTACTTATGAAATGCATGAAGCTTGTATTCTTTAAATAAAAGGTTTCTTTGAGAAAAAAATTAAAATAAATAAATAAATATAAAAAATAACTGTTCAACTGAATTGTTCCCTAGCTACTCAGCTCATCTACAATTTTTTAATCATGTAGAATTTCTCTCTTTCCGGAAGGGATTTAAAGACTGGTTCATGTAACACTTAATCCCTGGGTACATACTAGTTGAGTAATTCATTAATGAGCCAGGCAGTACACTTTCCAGGAGCACAAAGGGAATAGAGAAGTCTGCAGAGCCTTGAGGTTCTCTTGACACCAACGCCAAACTGTAAACTTTCGTTACCTCTGTAAGTATTTCTAAACCACCTCTACTTAGGTTCCAGAGTTCAGAAAACTGTATGTGTGTTTCTTATATCCAAGTCTAAGAAATTTTCTCTACTCAAATTACTTTAGGCATCTGCATGGTGTCATTGTAATTTCACAAGATGACAATTCAGATAGTTTCTCTAGAGAGTGGGTTAACTGGCTGACACTAACCACTGAGTTACTGATCCTACAAAATGGTGTGGATTAAATCCTGGGCTCCAAAAGCTTCCAAAAAGAGACTTCTCAGTAAGGGGTTTTTACTCACAGCTGGGTTTTCTCCCATGGACTCTTTGGGCAATCCATGCATGTACGTGCATCTTTGCCCAGGTTCCCGTGGAAACAACATCATTTAGTAGGACTGCTTTCGACTCCAGCTGCCTCTGAGCTCTGGAGTTTTCTTTTCTCACCATCTGGAGATTTTTGGTTCCTTGGCTCAAAAACAAAACCTGGCGCCATCTACTAGCATCCTCTAGTACTGCATTAAGATCATGTCTTGGAGTTCTGTGGATGTAGTAAGCACCACACTTTTCTCAACTCCAGTGAAGTCAAGCCTAGGTGTTGGAGCTTCGAAGATGGCTAAGACACGGTCACTGCCACAGGCAGATTTTTAGTCTAGCTGGAAGGCAGAAACTCTCAGAGTGTTGGGACTGTGTGGTGGCAGAGGAACATGTTGCTAGAACATGAGTCATGCATGCATCATTTTAACCCTTGGACTCCCCAGGTTCAGGAGGGATACCAGACTCCATACAGGGAGACCAATTAGGAGGCTGTTAACAAAATAGCCTCAAAAGTCCAAACACAAAATCTCCTCTCTCTTAAATGCAAAGTACTGCTAACTTGACTAGTCATGGCGTAGTTGGGGAGAAGCTTCTACCATATTTAACACTTGTTGCCTGTCCTCAGTTGTCCACTTGTTGCCAAGTGGGGGTAACACATGAAAATCCTTCAATTGGGACAAATACTCGTAGTTGAGATTCCAAGGATTTCCTCATGCTATAAAGGTATCTAATTGATGGTTAATAGAGCTCCTTACAAATAAACAAATCCACTCTCAGTTTCCACATTCTGTTCCTGATAACTATAGGAGGATCTGGTTGCACTTTTTTTTTCATGTCAGCAGAAAAATATAAGGGGCTCTATCACAAATTATATGTTGGGGCTGGTGCTATGGGGTAGCAGGTAAAGCCACCGCCTCAGTACCGGCATCCCGTATGGGCACTGGTTCGAAACCTGGCTGTTCCACGTCCCATCCAGCTCCCTGCTATGGCCTGGGAAAGCAGTAGAAGATGGCCCGAGTCCTTGGGCCCCTGCACCCATGTGGGAGACCCGGAAGAAGCTCTTGGCTCCTGGCTTCAGATCAGCCCAGCTCTGATCGTTGTGGCCATTTGAGGAGTGAACCAGCACACAGAAGATCTCTCTCTCTCTGCCTTTGCCTCTGCCTCTCTGTAACTCTTCCTTTCAAATAAATAAGTAAATCTTTAAAAAAAAATTATACACAAGTGATTTTAGCCAAAGGGCTGAGAAGAGATCGATTATAGATAAGGTCATCTGGATTTTGACTCGATCATCAGTTTCACGTCACATCTCTAGGGGGTAATCAGATTGTTTGCCTGCTCAAACTTTCAGATGCCTTAAAACTCTTCTGGATACAAATAATAGACTCGAAGCCCCTTTTCACTTATTCAAATATCAAAATTGTTGAAAAGAGGCAACAGGAAATTTCCCAGAAAGATTTTTTTAGAAGAAAAATATTTAACTTCGTCATTATTGCTTCTTATCTATCTTATTCTTCTTTCATTGAAGGGTCCAGGGGTCCGGGCACATCTTCCTGGTTAATCTTGCGTTTTTTATCTGTATCTCAATTAATAGATGCAGATGCAGTTTATTTATTGGAATTACTGTGTGGTATTTTGTTGTGTGACTATCCTAGCTATTAGTTTTCCAGTCTTAAAACATGTAGCCTAGCTGTTGCTGTTATTAAGAACCACATTGTGTCATGGATTCTTCCTTTATTATGTAGATTCTCCCTATATTCCTATAACTGCAGCAGAGGTTAGGAGCTGAGCAACTGGGCAATGGAGTTGGAGCTGCATTTTGAGCTGCCAGGTGTGAGTTACTGGAATCGGAGGGTGGCTTCACTAATTTGCATCTTTGTAAGCTCCTTTGCAGGCCTCGATCTCAGCATGTTTAAAGGTAATACCTCATTACCTTCCAACATTTCCTGTTCCGATAAGAAGTCTGTTGAAATTCCTTGGCAGATAATCTTTCTTCCTACCATGGCTATGAGGATTGTCTTTGTCCTGAATGTTCTCAAGTCTCTGGATGTAGAATTTCTCGTTTTATTTTTTCTGTTTAGTACCCAACGTGCATGAGAATGTGTTTCTTCTGAAAAAGGACCTGTTCCCATTTCTTTAAACATTTCTTCTCTGTCGTGCCCTCCCTTCCTTTATTTTGAAAATTCTCAATTTTCTTTCCAAGTCTCATCCTTTTTTTTTTTTTTAATTTATTTATTTGAAAGTCAGAATTACACAGAGAGAAGGAGAGGCAGGGAGGGAGGGAGGGAGGGAGAGAGAGAGAGAGAGATGTCTTTCATCCGCTGGTTCACTCCCCAGTTGACTTCAACGGCCGGAGCTGCACCAATCCAAAGCCAGGAGCCAGGAGCTTCTTCCAGGTCTCCCACACAGGTGCTGGGGCCCAGGGACTTGGGCCATCTTCTACTACTTTCCCAGGCAATAGCAAAGAGCTGGATTGGAAGTGGAGCAGGGGCTAGCACCATGGCGCAGCAGGTTAACGCCCTGGCCTGAAGTGCTGGCATCCCATATGGGCGCCGGCTCAAGACCTGGCTGCTCCACTTCTGATCCAGCTCTCTGCTATGGCCTGGGAAAGCAGTAGAAGATGGCCCAAGTCCTTGGGCCCCTGCACCCACGTCGGAGATCTGGGGAAAGCTCTTGGCTCCTGGCTTCAGATGGGCACAGCTCCGGCCATTGTGGCCATTTGGGGAGTGAACCAGTGGATGGAAGACCTCTCTCTCTTTGGCTCTCCTCTCTCTGTGTAACTCTGACTTTCAAATAAATAAATAAATCTTAAAAAAAAAAAAAAAAGGAATTGGAGCAGCCAGGTCTTGAAGCGGCACCCATATGGGATGCCAGCACTGCAGACGGTGGCTTTATCCACTATACCACAGCATCAGCCCCCTCATTCTCTTTAATATTTTTATTGCCTCTCTGTACTGCATTCTCACTGCTATTTCCAATTCACTGATTTTATCTTTGGCTCTATCAGGTCTGGAAATTATCTTGTATGTTGCAGATTTTATTTCAGTGGTGGTATTTTTCATTTCTACAATGTCTAGTAGTTTCTTTTATAAAGATTCATTTTATTTATTTATTTGAAAGGCAGAGTTACAGGAAGGGGGAAGATACATAGAGACCTTCTGTGCCTTTGTTCACTCCCCAAATGGTCACAATGGCCAGAGCCAGGCAGATCTGAAGCCAGGAGCCAGGAGCTTCTTCCGGGTCTCCCACGTGGGTGCAGGGGCCTAAGCACTTGAGCCATTATCCACTGCTTTTCCAGGCCGTAGAAGAAAGCTGGA